GCCCTCCCTCTGTCCATGGTGAGGAAAAAACAAACTCTAGTCTGCGTGGGTAGAGCTCAAATGACAGATTTTCCCCCAGGAACTTCTAAGCAATGTTCTTTTGATGTCAACCTCACCGAGCCTAACAATTGCATTTGTGAAGTTTACTCCTCGCTTTCCAGAGCTGCCCCCGTTTATCTGATGAATTTTGTGTGCTCTTCCTGAAACAGGATCACTTGCGTGTTCAGAAGGTTCCATGGTCAGTATCCTATAGAAGAATCAGTCTCCTGATGCACGAGAACATCATGAGTTCAAGACAGGACAGGACCAAATAAAATAGCCCCATGGCTGGCTGTTTCACAGGTCAGTATCAGGGAATGAGGCAGCAGCTTTCACAGTCAAAATTTTCACACTGTCTCGATCAACTCAATTTCACTGAAGAACACGAATATATGCCCACAAAAAAGGATACGTTTTTTGTGTAATTGAAAAATGAGAGTTAAGTGATAGCGATGTTCTGCGAAAGGGTAAAGACAAAGAGAAAGCAAACATTCCCATTCCTTAAACAAGCTTCGTACTTCACCCCATGATATTCTAGACAGTGACATAAAACTACAAAGATTTGTGATTTATGAAGGTAAATAAGTTTATATAATGAAGTATGCCACAAGTTGTGAGTAAAGGTTTTTTAGAGGCAGTAAATTTCTAATTTTTTTTACCAAATGAATAAGGGAAAAACAGGAATGACAGCACACATCTGTAATCCCTGCACTCTTGGAGGCTGAGACCCAAGTATCAAAACTTCAAACCCAGACTGAACAACTTAGCAAGAGCCTTTCCCAAAAATAAAACACACACACACACAAACACACTCACACGCACAAGAGGGGCTTTGTGTAGACACAAGAGGAGATGTAGTGGAAACACCCTGGGCTTAGTCCCCATACCACAAAACAAGGGGGTGAGGTACACAAACTTACTTTTCAAAATACTTAGTTGGCGTTATACTGCTTTTGCACCCTCTTTTAAAGTATTTATAATTCCGGTTGGGGAATTTAGAACTCATGAATACAGAGGCCAGCCTAGAAAGGAACAGGTTGCTTCATTTACCGGTGAAATTCTGGGTACCATTGGCTGAGAGTAACAACTGCTTTTTCTTTTCTTTTTTTAACAGACATACATTTACAAAATAGCATAAGAACAATACAAACAATACAGAGTTACAAAGTGGTAGGAAATTAACAGTGGTTGTTGTATTACGTATTGATATCTTCAAAGTGGTTTCTCAGGAAAACAAATAGAGACATGCAGAATTGACCAACAAGTAATCATTAACTGTTCCTTTCAATAAAACAATAGAAGACAGTAGCACAACTACATTAGCTATCCTGTGTATACAAACATACATAATTTCACCTTCTTTCCCTTCTCTTTTCCCACACCCCAGTTGCCCTTTACTTTTGAGCATTTTCCTTTCGTTTCACAATGTCTATCATACCTCCTAGTTTTTATTCACTCTCTCAGGTCTTACACTAGTGAGACAATATGATGCTTACACATGCAGGTCTGATTTATTTCA